TGGGGGGGGGGGATTGACGGAGAAGGACAGCAGTACAGTACCGTACATGACACAAGATAACACACCCCCTGGACCGATTTTCAAAGCTCGATTACTCCAACGCCGCCGTTTTCGGCGCTGTGACTCTTCCTGCTGTTGAGAAATCGAGCTTTGAAAATCTGTCAAGGGGGGTGTGTTGTCTTGTGTCATACACGGTAGCACCCTCCCCTTGAACAGTGGTCCCATGCCGGCACACGACCGGAGAAAAGTCTCTTTATCCTCAATCCTTCCCTCCGATGCTTCAAGTACCATCGACGAGATGTACACCGACGAGCAGTGCTACCCCACGGTAGGGTTGCACACATAACATCGGCGTATCTATTAGGTGTCCATTCTACCACACGGGTCTGAACCGGTATCGAAAATTCCCGCCGCCGAAAGAGACTCCTAATTTGATCCGGACACTAGCCAGAGTGAGTTTCGTACCTTGGTGGCTTCGTCGGCAATGCGGGTCAACACCGTCACTTCCCAGGCACCAATCTGTCTCTCCATGCCGGCATTGATCTGGGCGGCCAGGCCTCGCACTCGGGATGCCAAGTCTCCTGCGTCGACAACACGAAAAAATGAAAAAAGAGAGTCAGCGTATGTTCCAAGTACCGCAGGCGACACAAGACACCACACCCCCTGGACCGATGATCAAAGCTGAAAGCTGGGTTTCATTTTGGAAGAAACATTGGCGGTACAGTACCGAAAACGGCGGGGCGAGGACCGTCGCGTCGACAGCCTTCCGGAAACGCATGAAGTTTGCCTTATACATCCTCCGCGTCGCGGTACTGTGAGAATCGATCCTGGGGGGGGGGGTGATATCTTACGTCACCTAGAGGTGCGTACAGAGGCAGATGTGAGGAGTGGGTTGTGTCCACGGAAAGGGGGAGATGGATGACTCTCAACTGGCACGGGTCATGTTTATCCAAAAAAGTGCAGCTGGGACGAGATAAAGGTACACAGCAAGTACGTCATGAGCCAGAGCACGACCGCAGACGAGGAAACAAGGGAGCAAGCGCGGACGTGTGTATGCGCACGATCGTGTGCACTGAGAATCATCGCAATTTCCGAGCGGCCCCCCGTGGAGCGTGGTATTGGGGGTTTCACAGTCTTGGGTCATGCAATGAGATGAACGCCGACATCCTGATTGGTAGAAACCTCTGTTCCGGTCCGCGGTGATAAACTCAGCACCCGAATGAATCCTAAGTGTCTTCATCAGTCTGGGCTTGATCACCTGGGGTTCATTCGGTGTTTCCGTCGACAATCCACCCCACCCGTGGTGTGGCACTCCTTACGTACGTACGGGGATTTTGTCTTAAGCAACATATTGTCCTCGGCACGAACCTGTGAACGCAGATAACAACACAGTAGACGTCCCGACATAGTGCCCGTTTGTGCCTAGAAAATTCACCAGCATTTCCAAATCCGAAGTCATTGCGTGCCCGGTGAAAACACCATGGATAGAAAATTTTGCAAAACAACAAAAGTCTCACCGTTTGCCGCACTCGATTCTTCCCCCTCAGCGATGACGCGGTCGATCTCCCCTAGAATGGGCACCTGGCTGTGATACTTCCACGCCATTTCGCCGCAGTTCACGGCGTGGGTCTTTTTGCCCTCTGCCCATTCCTGCTCCGTCCGGCAAAAATTGTGGGGGGGGGGGGGGGGGGGGGGGGGGGGGGCCCCCCAAAAGAAAAAGTTCCCCCCAAAAACCCCCCCCTGGGGGGAAAAAAAGGGGGGGGGGGGGGGTTCCCCAACTCCCTTTTTTGGAAAAAAAAAGGGGGGGGGGGGGGGAACAAAAACCAATTTCCCCCCCCTATTCCAAAACCAAATTCCCCGAATGGGGGGCCTTTCCAAAATTTTTTTTAAAAAAAAAAAAAAAAAAAAACCCCCCCCCCCCCCCCCCCCCTTTTTTAGGGGCCCCCTTTAAAAGG